CTTTCTGGTGTTTACCGGTGACTTTTTTCGGCGATCCATCATCGGTGGATTTGGTTTGTGTATATTCATGAGAAGAATAGATGACTTCTAGTTCCCATCTCCTGCATACATAATACACAATCCGTTGAAACTCCAACATTCCAGTGCATCATTCGGTCACCCGTCGTTAGTCGATTTTGAATAGTGAGCCGCGTTGTAAATATTCCGTTGAGTGTGTTATATTGCAACTCCAATGTTGTGATTCTGTGATTCTGATTAAAAGAATGGCTAATTTCGTGATCGGATTTTGTTTCTTCTTGTATACTTGGTCGTTTGCGCTTTTACTTTCTATGATTGTGACTTTTTCTCATGATTCATGGGTGGATTTTTCTGGTTGCTAAGAGTATTGTTAGAAGATCGATATAAATTAATTTCCAACTTTCTAGAATGCTCAACTCTTGTTTTCTTATATAGTATTGGGTTTAATTTCCTTCTTATCTCATACATACCAAAATGGGTATGTATGAGATAAGTCATACGTAAAATGATCTTTCATCTTTTGCTCTTATTTTCTTACATTCAACTCACTTGAACTCTCTCTTGTAGCATGAGAGAGTTCAACTTCGCCATTTGGTTCTCATTCCGGTAGATGGAGGACGCACTATCAATGCAGCCTATGAGCTCATGTCCGATGTCGAATTTCCAGCTCTTACTCCTCATCCTTCGGAAAACGTCATGGAAAACGTTTCTTGGCCAAAGATATGTGATGTTGTAATCATTATTGAAATTTGTTTTAAGACCTTGTTTTAATGTTGTTTTATTGTTTTAAGGGCCAAAAAAGAAAACTCGAACTTGTTAAATCTACTACTCTTTTGCAAATCGGTTAAACATATTTGGACAGATTTAGTACAGATGCAAGCTTTCTCAAAGAGTTGTGAATTTGAAGACAAACTCAAGCAAAATTATGTGGTGCCAAAAATGCAGTTGAAGATTCGGGGATGAATCTTTCTTGGCTTGTAAATAATTTTTTAAGCTTAGTGTATTATTTAGTTTTTTTCTTTCTATTATCTTTAGTTAGATTCAACGAATCTCTAGTTCTATCCCCCAAAACTTATGTTTCATCATTTGGTATTGGCACTAGAGAACGAAAAGATTGATAGTATTTCTGATTTTAGATTTTAGATTACAAGATCACATATGTAAACTAGCATCCGGTCTACAACACTCCACCTTCTTCCATAAAGTTTCTCCCAAGGTGAGAGCACATAATACTCATAAGACAGTGTAAGCATTCCAAACCTGATGATAGTGGTTTGAGCCAAAACCTTTTATTTTTGCTTGATTGGATCATACCCTTGACAACAGTCGAAACACGATTGAAGTTGGGTGTTTTGTACCCAAGGAAATGAACATTCCCTTCTTTGAGGTGTGGGACAGGAAGAACGGCCTGGAGAAAATGAGATCCAAGTTCTCCGCAGAGGTTGTTTCTTTTGACAGCATTCCAATGACCAGCAGTTTCCGTTTTTGGAGCTTAACGGATATAATCGCGGAGTCTCCTACTTCCGCTTGAAAGTCAAGGGAAACCTACACAAACAGAATAAATTTTAACCAACAAAAAAGTCAAGGCTGACTCGAAACCTTAGAAAGTTAATTGTACTACCAAGACCACTCGCACTTGTAACCAGTTTGGGTAAGATTAAAGATTCTCTTGTAGATAGGTTCTATATCACATCTCCATCAACCAATTTCAGCTTCTCGGTATCAAAAGAGCACCTATTACGGTTGAAACTTTCTATTCATTCTGTCGTTAGAAGACTCTTGTCTTTACGCAAGATCAACCCTCTAACAGGAGGACCAAGTACACAAGTGTCTCGAGAGATATCAAGAACCTTGACATATTCAGAAGCAGCCAAAGTAGAGGAGGAAAACGTCATGGAAAACGTTCATTGGCCAAATCTATGTGATGTTGTAAGTCATTATTGAAATTTGTTTCAAGACCTTATTTAATGTTGTTTTATTGTTTTAAGGGCCAAAAAAGAAAACTCGAACTTGTTAAATCTATTACTCTTTTGCAAATCGGTTAAACATATTTGAACAGATTTAGTACAGATGCAAGCTTCCTCAAAGATTTGTGAATTTGAAGACAAACTTAAGAAAATTTATATGGTGCCAAAAATGCAGTTGAAGATTCGGAAATTAATCTTTCTTGGCTTGTAAGTAATTTCTTAAGCATAGTGTATTATTTAGTTTTTTTTTCTTTCTATTATCTTTAATTAGAATCAACGAAAGTCTAGTTCTATCTCTCAAAACTTATGTTTCATCATTTGGTATTGATACCAGAGAACGAAAAGATTGATAGTATTTCTGATTTTAAATTTTAGATTAGAAGATCACATAATTTTTACCCAATATATTAAGTCTCCGAAACAGGAGGAAAAAAAAACAGAGTTACACACCGAAATGAGTTTGTAGATCGAGGAAGGAGCATCAACGACTTGTTCTTATAGATTGAAAAGTTTTAACGTCGGTGTAAAATATTTTACCGTTGTGGTAAATTATAGCCGTTATTATTCAAAACGCAACTTGATAATTGGGCTTAGTTATGGGTTAAAACTCGAAATTATGAAACAATCTGCAGAATAGTTATGGGCCTATGGCCAATCTTAAAAAGAGTTTTGTTTTTGTTGTCGGTAAAACGGCATACATTTTATGTACAGATGAGAAAAGCGGCAACGTGTGTTGACATGAATCAGCTAGAGAGAATTGTTGCAAGAAAATGAATGGAAAGGGGGATGAGAAGAAAGCTGTGAGAGAGGCTCTTGAATCTAAAAAGAGGCCAAGTCTTTAGGACTACTGTGATCAATCTTTTGTTTGATAAGTAGTAAACAGTTAGTATTTGCCTATTTGGTGATCTTTTTATATATAGAACAATTGGCTTTTATGCAATGCATCTTGAGTATGTTGGCTCAAGAGATGAAGAAGCTACTGCAGGTGCATTTCACTCGTAGTAATTGCCACTAAGGCTACAATTTACGAAGAATAGTGCTCAACAAATGAGAATAATCGGTCAGTTGGTTAATCACATGCTTTGAATACGGCGGCTTTGGTGTTTATTATAGTTGCTTTGAATAAGCCTCTTCTTGGAAATGCTTTGTAGATCATTTTCGACACATACCATTTCAAAACTGCGTTTTTTCCTCTAAAGATCTGCCAAATTTCATTGATCGTTTCAAAGGATGATGCTTTCTCCCTAACTCTCCTTTGTTGTCATTGCAGGCGGCATTTGTGACACATAAGATCTTAATCTTACGAAATTCAGGTTATGGTTTTTGCTTCGTGTCTTCGTTCGTATACTTAACAGTAACAAATTACTTATATGATCTCTGCAGATGATCATCAGTCTTTACAAACAGAACAACAAAGTTTGTCTACGTATATATTCACTTGAATGGTTACAACCGCAACTTAGTAGCATAGACCGATTCATAGTAGACCATGTAAGGAAACTTATCACAAGTTTCTTCAATCCATTACATACTTTTACAAAGAATTCATAGTAGACCATGTAAGGAAACTATGCTACCAAGTTTCTTCAAGTTGCCTTTTGAACCTTAACAGTTTCTTCAGGATTCATATTTGTGATTCACAACCAGTTCAAGTTTAGTAAAACCATTTTACTCTAATTTATTTTTCTTACTGTTTCTTCATCTCATGCAGTCTGGTATTGTCATTGTCTCATGACTGGAAGAGGTTTCGTTTCAGGTATTCTTCAA